AATCTACCTTACCTATTTTAAATATTATTAAGTTTGATTAATAAATGTTGAGTTGAATTAACTTTTTTTGCAATTTAAAGTGTAGTAAATAATCTTTCTTTTTGCATTCCTTTTTGCATAATAAATTCAGAAACAGAACAGAATTGTCCTTAGGTCAAAGAATTTTATTATAACTGAGCTGAAAGGTGAGTCTGACAATGAGGAAGTAGATGCTTATGCTTCTTTTCTGCCCTTGTCTCTGTTTGCAAGAGTATCTACCTATAGTTTCACTTTCCATATTGCAGGAGAAAGATTTGAGTTTGTTTTCATCCTTAGATTTGAATCCTCATTCTGTCATTTACATGTTGTGTAAAGCTTGTCAAGCTACTCACCTTTCCTCAGCCCATCTTCTTACTAGTTACAGGAAGTGTAGACTTTAACCTGAGGACTAAGTATATGCTAATTATGTAAGGTCATGTACTGTATTCCATTGGTATAATTTCTTATCATCTTGCAGTGGTTCTAAACAAAACTAAACCTTGTTTTAAACCTTGCTTTGACTGTATGAAATAAGTAATTGAGATCTCTCTCTCTCTTTTTCATTAAAAAAAAATGCATCCTGAACAGGTTTGGATTTAGATCTGGGGTGCTCAGGACATTTACTTAATGAAGGATGAGGTATCGGTTAGTGTTCTCAGCCTGAATCTGCAAGGCATGAACTGTGTATCTCAATGCCCACAGCCAGCACTGGTGCTAACACTTGTATACTTGCTGCAGCATCAGTTCCCACACACCATTTGAGACTGCACCTAAGGTTACTGCAGTAGCAGCTTTCTCACTTTACTGGGTCCTCCTGAGTGTGGGCTTTCTGACTGGCTCCCCCACACCTTTCATAGTCCTTACAGTAATTGTGAGTTTTCTCACTTATTATTCTCACACCTGAAGCTCTTGGAAGGAGTCTTTATTAAAACCAGACTCTTGCAAGTGGTTGGACATAAGGTTAAATGAACATTTGTTGATTTAAGTGACTAAATTGTCACTTTGTAGTCATTGAAAAGCACTACAGAATTTGTGGTTGATACTTGTTTGTTGTTAATAGCTCATAATGAGAAGATTTGGTTCCTAAGAATAATTCAGCTAGCACTTAAAAAAAATCAAGGCTAAATAAATAAATAAATGTATTCAGGCTCTGAAAGGCCAGATAACTCAAGCGAAGTCTCAATTTAGAGAATTTCGCTGTCATAGCAACCTAACTACAATGTAAAGGGAGGAACTCTTTATGTTTCTATAATGTTTCATCCCTTCAAGAGTCTCAAATAAAATTCAGATGTAATTTTGGGGGGATAAGGGTGAAAAAGAATAATGTTGAATTCTTTTTTATGTGTTCTAAGTTTTCTTCCTTGCAATACAATTACAAAATCCAATGGGTTAATTGATACTACCTGACAACAAGCAAGTTCCCTTTAAAGGAACTTAGAACATATAACTTCTGCTTACAACCTCCTAGTAGCCTTCCATGTTACTTTCTGTGAAATGGAAAATTTCTAGTACAAACAACAGCATTCACAGGCTTGGCCTTGCTAAAGTTCTGGCCACACTTCTAAGCACTCTCCTCCTGAGGTTTTCAATCTAGCCAAACTTATTCCCATGTTGTCATTATTATTATATATCTAGCATGCTCTGACTTAAAGGTTTTGGCAGTCTCTTTTCCTTTGCTGAAAAGTTCTAAGAAGCCCAAAGTTCTCCCACTTTTTTCAAATATTATCCATAAAGATTTACCCCTGATTCACCCTAAAAAATAAACAAACAAATAAATAAAGCAATGCCATCTTCCATCTTTTAATTCCCTAAGCTTCTAAATCAAGATGTATTTTTTTCTAAGCCTTATCATCACCTGACATTATATCAATATATATACATATTAATTTTAAGCCCCTCAAATGGACTTTTCTCTTGCTTAAAAAAAATTAAGCCATTTAAAATTCACAAAACATGCAATAGCTATTTACACTTCTGAAGCTTGAATTTGTTCCCAGAAAAATAAAATTATAAATGTAAAATGATGCATATTTCATTTTAGAAATAAAGAATAAAGAAGGGAAGAAGGTCTTAAATATATTGTATGAATTTTCCTACCTTTTATGGTTAAAGACAGAAGATCTATGCTTTACCTACAGTTACATAAAGCAATTGCTATGATAATAGCAGAATTGAGACAAATCTACTTTTATTCATTTTAGCAAAATGCTTCTTTGTAATATACTTATTTCTCCATATACATATTTTTCCTTAAGTTCTCAATTTAAAAGATTGCAGACATAGAATTTTTTGGATATAGAAAAACAAGAATCAATTTGAACTTACTCAAATCTATAAATAGGTCTTGTACCTAGATAAATTACTAAATTGTATGTGGTCATATTTTTATTATTTATAGACTATAGTAAGAAGCTACTTATTACTCATTATAGTTTGAACATCCACTCCATTCTCTGCACCAGACACTTTAGCTCAGTCATCTCCATTCCCCACAACAATATAGCAGGGGAGATTTTATTACCCCCACTTTTCAAACGAGGAAAAAGAAATGTAGCATGTGACAACACATTGCCCAATATCACACAGCCAGGAAGGGTCAGGGACAGAATCCAGACCAAAGTCACTATGTTTTCTCTCTTGCCCCATGTCTCTGTAGATAACATTGGGAAAACTCTAATAATCACTCATGTAATTCAGCTTATCTGCTTAAATGAATTTTCCATGGTGATACCATGAGCTGAGTTCCAGTCCAATCTCTGTCACTCTAGACAAACAAGGTGACAGTGACAAGGAATGTTGGAATGTATTGTTATGAAAGAAACTACTCCTTATTTACTTGACTGAAACCAAGCTTTGTCAATCCTGGCCATAGAGTGTTGGAAAGAAAATATTCATCTGACATGCAGAATCTGGATAATCACATTAGAAAAGCAAAGAGGGAGGAACAAAACATGAGACAAAAATGAAACAACTTGCATTAGTTTCCTCGTTTTGCTAGGAACCAGCATCTTAGAAAACTTTACAACTGTAATTAACTATTATGTATTTTCTGGCTTTGAGACAGCATAAAAACATTTAAAAGGAAGAGAAAAGCCCATTGTAACGGTTTAGAAAGTAAAAAGTAAGTCATTTAATTTTTCTTTCATCTGATGTTAATTTATGCAGAAGCTAATAACATGTTTGTTGGCTCAGAGCTTCACGCTGTAGAGAGGATTTCTCTCCCAACCAGATTTTCCTGTGATCTCTGCCAGATAAATCCATCATCTCAAGGCTTATGACACTTTCGCCAGAAAAAGGCAATATGCTGATTAATTCGCATCCTATAGACACATTTAATTGCTATCTCTTGGAAAACCAGTGGTGTTAAATGCTCTAATCCTTCTCTGTTGCAAACAGAACAGCAAATTGGAAGAGAGAGTGAAGATGAAGTATGTATGCAAGTGCAGAGTCACATGGGAAAAGAAGAGTACTGTTGACAGTGGAGGGAGAAAAAAAACGTCAGGGAAGGAGAGTTTTCGTGGAAGAAGCACGGGCCATTTTTATATCCAACTAGCATATAATTAAATTGTTATGTCTTTTATAAATGAAAAATTTAATTCCACTCCTGCCAAATCACCTAGAGAACATAGACAATAGTGCGTGAAGAAATGCAGATTCTTCAGAAGTTGATGTTTTAAATGAAATTCACTGTGAATAAAATAAGTCCCATAATGACAGCTTAAAGGTCTAATTCATAAAAATGTTATTAAAGTACATTATTTATGCCTGCTTTTTGTGGACTTCTGCTCTTATTCATGACTCTCACAGTGTATGGCTGTAATCACAGGCAGAATGTGTAATAGAAGCATTAATTCAATCTGAACCAAGGCAAGAATACCGTATTGCCACAATAAAATCCCAGCTATATTCAAAGGGGAGAATTTACTGCACAAGAGCATTTTCTTAAAATAAAATAATGACTTCTGCCTTATGGCCTCAACAGCTACTTTCATTCTGAAGTTCAGTATAATATTGACTAATTGGCACAGAGTTTTTAAAAATTATTTATTCATCTATGTTATGAAACTTAGAGACTGGGTACTGTATTGTGATTTCATGGTAACTAAGGCATTGATATTTAGTATGGGCTTAAAAATATTTGCAAGTGGTCTATAATTTACTTAACCCCTCTTCTGATATCTGACATCAGATGGCAATGTTTAACAAATGCCTGTTCAATTGCCTGGCATATGCATTTATTTAGATGAGATGGAAAACATCCTGCTACATAAAATTTCTTCCAAGGAAGCTGAATATAATGATTTTTAAACCAAAAGTATTTTTATTTCGAATTTTAACGTGATTTCCATATTTTATATAGCTAAACATTTAGGAAAAGGAAAAGCAGAATTCAGTTGGTTTTACTTTTAACTTTGAAACTGTCAAACTTTGACTTCTTGACTTTATACTCCTTATTGGTTGAGCGGCAACAGTATAGTGTAGACATAATTAGACAAAGTGTGAATATATTTCTCTCTACAACACTAGATTTTCTCTAGGAGTTTTGAAAAGTCACTCTTTATAAATTATACTTTCAACACTAAAAGAAAGCGTTGTCTTTGATCTTGTAGGTAAAAAGCTCTAAACCTAAGGGGATGAATTAATTCCTGTTTTTAATAAGACACAGTCATTAGTAGACAACTTGTGCATTCATCTCGGAACTACACATTGAATTTCCTCAGCATAGTAACTCTTATAATAGTTCTGGGTAATGGAAACTTTTGAATACACCTGTATCTGAAATGACAGAAAAATGACAAATGGCAAAGATACAGATATTTCAAATATAGGGTAAATAACCCTATTAATCTAAGATAAAAAGCAGTCAATTGCCAACATTAAACCATACTTATCACTGTCTCAAATCTAAAAATCACTGAACACTCTAATCCAACAAGTATGTACTAGCACACAATTTTGTGATGTGAAATGAGTCTGCTTACCAGAAAAGTGTCCCGGGATGTCCAATTGTTACATGGTCATGGCTGAGCAGCACTTGAGGTTCTCTCTTTACCTGTCAGACAGAGACTTTCTCAGATTTTGGAAAGAGGGGTGTTCCATGAAGTTTAGAGACACCACACACTTCCACATGGCACCCAAACCTACTTGGAACTCTGAGTGCAAAGATTGTCTGAGAACTTTCCCTGATACAATCACTCAGAAAGGGCAGTGGAAGTTATGTCCCCAACACATTGCCAGACAAATGTCACCTAGCTGTAAATGCCTGTTGACAAAAGCCAGATTTGAAAATCATCTAAATCAAAATAGGTATTGTTAATGGCAAAATATATCATTCCTAACATGATTAAACCTATAAAAAGAAAGCAAAACAAAATAATTCTTGTAGCTTACCTGTAATATATTTCTGAAGAAATTATATTTTAATTTTATATGTCAATATCTTACTTAAGGCACTAAACCAAAACTGTTTGGCTCAGAAAGCTCAAACTCTCTTGTTCATGATTTGTAAACAACATTAGCAGCTTAAAGTGTTATGCATTTACTGTTAGGCTGGCACCACACAGAGAACTTGTTAAACATTATCTAGCTTTGAGGAAGGTACTGTTATTTTACAAATGAGGAAAATACTGCTTAGTGAGGTTCAATCACTTGTTGAAAATCACAAAGCTGTCCAGAGGCAGAATTGACTTAACAGTAATCCCTCTTTCCAATGTTGACTTTCCTTTTGTACTAAATTTTCCTAAAGGAAATATTTTACATTTCTTCTCTAGAAAAAGAAGGAGAGAAGAAAGCTGAGAAGAAAGTTATTTCTGAAACAAAAAAGAAAGGTAAAGATTTCAAAAAGCTGTCTAACTCATAAATTAATTAGTATCTATTTACATTGCTACTAATAAAGCTGTTTTTTTCCCTGGGAAATAAATTCACTTTATGATTTCATAGTCATAGTTATTAACAAACTCTTTTGAGCTTTGTAAATGTTCAAAATAGAGTTGAAATTGATTAAATTTTTAATAAGACAATGCAAAGCCTAAATACTTTTAAAAATTATTATTGTCTGATTATTCTTTCCTGTTTTAGAAACTGCTCAATGTTAATTCATTAATTTATTTGACTATATATGTTGATGTGAATATTATATTCAACTAATTCAGCTTAATAAAAATATCTATCATGGGGCAGAACATTTTATGCAATCCGAAGTAAATATTTGAAAAGTTTGAGTTTTGTTTTTTTTTCTTTCTTAGTTGGTTGTTTTCAAATAGTTCATCTGATGTCTCCAAGTGAGCTTCAGAGATTTCAAAGTTCCTGATATGCTTCCAGTGACTTAGTAGCTCAAGGGACATTCAATATGTTCCTTTTAGTATGTTTTAGAAAAATGATGGGATTCTACCATAATTAATAATAGCATATAATGCTTACACTTTTATGAAGTACTTCTTTCCTGTACCAACAATTTGTTCTTTCTTGGAGAAAAAAGCACACCTAAGCCATTTGTCTGTTAGGTAGGTGCTAGTTCACTCATACTTGACATGACTTATGGCTCTGATGTGGGACTCATTTTCACAAGACAAATTGGATGTCTTAATGACACTCGTGCATGTCCTGAAATATATGAAAATTAAATAGGCAGAGGTTTAGAATTTTCTTATTTTAACAGCAGAAAAAGAAGATGCCAAAAAGAAAAGTGAGAAGGACACTCCCATTGACCTGAAAAAGAAAGGTATTAAATTTATTTTGTTCCCTTGCATTATGTTTAAGATGTCTTTTTAACAAAAACAAAACAAAATCTTACTGTCAGGCTGGGGATGTAGCTCAGTGGTAGAGCACTTGCAAAGTGTGAGGCCCTGTGTTTAATCCCCAGTACCACCTTGCTGTAACTTGTACAAATTTGGATATGAATTCTTGAATCCAACCATGTGAAGACTTCGACAAGCAAAAGATTGAGCTAGCTAGACAAGGAAGAATTGTTCAAGACTATTAGAATCAGTGGGAGAGACTGGAACTCCCTCTGACTTAATTCTGCTGAAACAGAAAGTAGGAGTGTGTTAGAACTGAAACAGGGATCTTCAGCCATCCACATTTGCAAATAGGCTTTACTCCAAGAAAAAGTAAACTTCCTCTCTTCTATGTTTAGGAGAGAAACTGAGAGATGGCACGACCTTCTCTTCATGGTATTTATTATTTATGTTTGGTATCAAGGATTGAACCCAAGGATGCTTAATCATTGAACCACATCCCCAAGTCCTTCTTGTTTTTCACTTTGAGACACAGTCTCATTCAGTTGCTTAGGGCCTCCATAAATTGCTGAAGCTGGCTTTGAACTTGTGATCCTCATGCTTCAGCCTCCTGAATCTCGGGGATTACAGGAGTGAGCCACTGCATCCAGTTCCATGATTATCTTTCTAAGGCCTGGTTCTCAGATCTTTGAGAAGGGCACCCCTGTGTTGTAAAACTTAAAGAGGCTTTAAAAGATTCACATCACATAGGGGCCAAGAAAGAATTTACAACTCCAAGTTTTATAAGTAATTGCTCTGGAATAGTCAGGCACCTAAGGTCAGGAAAGGATAGTCAGGCACCTAAGGTCAGGAAAAAGCCTTTCTGAAGTCAGTCAAGCTGAGAGCCATCTTGGTTATGATATAATACAAAGACAAGAGCTGCACAGTACAGAGAGAGAGAGAGAGAGAGAGAGAGAGAGAGAGAGAGAGAGAGGATCAGTCTATCTATTTATTTCTATTTAGTATAGCTTTGCAAAGATAAGAAACCAAGAAAGAATAAGGCACGTCATTAGGAAATAGGATTATTTCAACTTTTAGGGTTTAGATTTTTACTTTACATTTAGTTTTGTTTTTATTCCGGCACAGACATGAATGTCAGCTTCTATTCATGTAATGCTTAAATCTACATGGAAAAAATTGTCATCTCAAGTAATATGGTTTGAAGATAAGTATTCACACCCCAAAATATTTCCTCCACTATGTCAGTGATGCTTGAAATTCTACTATTAGTGTCTTTCCATTCCTTTGAGTTATGAGGGAATTCTCTTTCATTACAATGCAAATCTCCTAGGGCCTGTGTGTATGGGGTAAAAAACTAATTCCTCTCAGGTATTAGCAACTTCAAGTAAATGAGATTTCCAAATCTTCTCCATATAGTGGTAAATGGAAAATGATGCCTTACAAAATGAGGCAGTAGGTAAGCTTACATAAGGGAGCAGTTGAAGGGAGCTTCAAGGTAGGACGTTGGCTAGGAAGAGCAAGAAGGCTGGGATGGCATCAGTGAAACCTTTATCTTTATGAAGGAGTAGTAATTTATGTGGCAAACAAGATGGTGATAAAATACACAGGATCCCAAATTAACTAACAATTATTCTTAGCAAGTAACAATCAGGAATGAGAGCATATTTCTGGTATACTATAACTGGGGTAAAAAATACATATAAAATACTAAGAATTGCATGATTATATGGCTTATAAAATGATGAGAGTGAAAGAGTCAGATATTCTGCCAGTGTAAGAGTTGATTGTCAATTACTTTGCACCCCAAATTATATTATGAAGAATACATCGATGTGGTTTATTGAATTGTTCAATACTTAATTTTACTTTAAACTTACTTTATTTTCCTGGTGACATATGTCTTAAGAATGGAAAAAACACAGTACTGACCATATGATGATACTAAGAAATTTGTTGCTTAGATCAATGGACTTGTGATGTTACATGTATGGGTGGTGAAGATAGATAAGGTGCTTCTTTCTGAGCCATCAGCTTTGTTAAAAAATTTGAAGAAGAAATTTTTGAGTTGTAACCCTCAAAGCTTTTGTCACATGTATGCAGAATCAGAAAGAAAAGTTGTTTTTACCAAATTAAATAATGTGTTTGTGTGTGTGTGTGTTTGTGTGTGTGTGTTTGTGTGTGTGTGTCTGTGTGTCTATGTATTTGATGTTTTGATTTGGTGTATCTTTTCTGGGGGATAGGCAAAACACATTAATATGTAATGAGTGATAGGAAAATCTGATACTTCCATGCAGCTGGAAACCTGTGCTGGTTGCCTGACCTTTATGTCAAAGTGAGGTTGTGCAGGAATAGCATCAGAACTGATTATGCCATCATCACTTCCTGTAAGGCCAGTGCTCAGCCAGTGAAGCACAGATCACAGTGGGCATATCTAGGGTGGCTGCTCAGCTAGAGGTACAGAACAAATTTGTCCATCTTGAAACCAGTTTTCTTTTTGTTAAGTTTGTCATTTTACCATTTGATTATATAAAATATCGTTGGTTCTTTAAATTTAATTTAGTTTCCTGATTGGAATATGAATGATTTAATAATTTCTGTTCAAGTTTTTAGTCCTCTAATACTCAAAATCGAGTGTGTTGATGTGTGTGCAAATGGATGTGTGTGTGTGTGTGTGTGTGAGAGAGAGAGAGAGAGAGAGAGAGAGAGGAAGATGGAGAGAAAGTTAATTAATATTGTTTTTTAACTCTAACGTTTCTTTTCAGAGTTTAATAATTCTCTGAATATATTTTCAGCTGATGGCAATGTGGATTAAAAATAACCAATCTTAAGCTTATTATGAAAGTAGTAAAAGTTTATACAGATAATGAGAGAAATGAGTGTAACAAGATCTTGAAGAGCTGGGGCACATATGTCATTTCTTCCTAAAATAGTAAAAGAAATATGGTAGAGCATATGATATCACTACTGTAACCATAAATAGTAGCAAATCTGTAAGGCAAAAGATAATCCTAAGAGTTTATTTAATATCTGAGTGTTATATTTTATTTGTTTCACTTTTATATAATTTATGTGATTATCTACTATATAGACTTGTTATACTATTATATTTTATTACAGTTAGAATATTAATTAGATGCAAAAGAAGCTAAAAATCAAATTCTATTGACTGATAAATACTCCTCTAATGCATGAAACTGGTAAATCATGCTTTGTTAATGATCTGTGTTAGTGAAAATTTGACTGAAGTTTTTATGCAAGATTGTTAGCTTCTTGATTAATAATAGTTGAAACCAAGTAATTGGGACATAGTGGTTACTTATAATAATCTCTTATTTAGTATATATTGGAAAGTATACATGTAAAAAATCTTGTCACTTTAAAACATTACATGAAACAAAAAAAAAAGAAAAATCACAAGGATATTTTTGCCACATTATAATGTATGTTTCCACCTGATGGGTTGCCATTAAAAAAATAAACAAAAAATTTAAAAACATCTCCCCATGTTAGTGTTGGACTTAGGTGTAAGACATATCAAACATTCTAGTTACTACAAAGAGAAGAGATTCTATACAGGGAATTAGGTACCTCCAAAATTGTAGGCAGGAAGGGATGAATCAAAATTAAGGAGATGATATTGAATCATAAAGTATAGGTCAGGAAACAATTTCATTCTAACAGTCACAAAGGCTGGTTGATGGAAATGTATAAGCAGACTTCAGCAACGACTAACATCTTCAATTGCCAAATCAGACATCTAGTTTGTCCAACCATTTCTGCAAGTCAGTTTCATGTATGTGCATTTAGTTGGTGGTAATTACTTTTGTTTCTTGGTGAGCACTAGCAGCAAGGGAGTCCACCAGATACAAAATTCTGGAATTCCAATTTGTCTAACCGCAAGATAGGTAGAATGGAAGTTGAAAGAAGCTACCTATACTATCTGCAATAATGATACCTTCAGAAGTGTCTGAGAGGATAAAATTCATTTGAGATAGTTTTTGAAGTCCTGGACTGTGGAGGAAATGAACATATCTTCATGCACTCCCCAAACCTGAAAAAGATGATTTGATAAAATACCATGATCAAATTTTTCAATTTAAATTGTTCACAAGACACATTTGAATGAAATTTATATTGCTCTTTACCCAAACTGTAGCTAAAAAAGCATAGGTATTTTTTTTCTCTTCACTGCACAAAATGATGTTTTTAAGAAACATTTTTCTAAGTGCTTGATGATGAGATTATAAGACTTGAAAAAGATTACCACATTGATTTGTCTTATATGAAATAATTATAATATACAAAAAATATATAGACCAGAAGAGAATCCAAATGGACTCCAAGATAATCTATTTCTCTCAAGTTGGCTATTTTTGAAATTCTAATTTATAAACATTTTAGAGTTGAATTTATTATCACTGTACATATTCAACTATTAATTATGAAAATAATTTTGACATAATAACTGTTACTAATGTTACAAAATGATATTTCATTATTATACTTTCCAGTAGTATTTTTTTTAGGAATTATCTGAACAGAAGTACAAATTATAAGAAGGAGCCTATAAGTACACATTGGTTTCTCTGAAATATGCTGTTAGAAAAGGACAAATTAATTAATTCATATACACATGCTTTCTTACAGGAAATATTTACTAAATGTCTTCTATATCCCATATATTCTAGCATGCACAGGTGGGTTAGCAGACATAAGAGGTACCCTAATGGGATTTACAGTTTGATGAGGGCAGCACACCATGAATAAGAAGGCAGAATACTATTAAGTACAGCTCAGACTAAGGGCAATGGAGGAAATAAATTTGGGATAATCATAAAAAATAATGGATGGGGTTGGAGAGCCATTAACATAGAAAAGGTTTTTAGATCAGTCCCCTCTGAGAGTCAACATTGATTTAGCACAAAAGTGGTGCTAGTGATTGAATCCAGGGCCTTGAACATGCGAAGCTTGTGCTGTATCACTG